AATGATTCCTAATTACTCCTCTATTTTTCAGTCTTTGAAAAATTCTTTCAAATGTATGCATATGCCTGATTGTATTTCATGTACATCCTATAGAAACTCAGAAGGATTAGTTGGCCAACCCACAACATCTTGCAAGCTCCTCTAATTTCCCCCATTCTCAATACAGTGAATAATTGGAAAACAGAATCAGGATTTGCTTTGTTGATATCTGAATGAGTCTATGACAATTAAAGAAGTTATAGAGTGCTCTAGACCAAAAAAAGAAAAGAAAAGAAAATTCCCAGACAGTAGTTGTGAAGGTTGAGTTCTCATTTTCCCCTATCATAACACTATGTATCTATACGACCAGTGCAAGAAAACAACTGCAAGTGTAGGCAAACTGCTGATTGAGTGCAAGCAGGGTGGAGGTAGATTAGAGAAGGAATCGGCAGTTTAAATTAATCCCCTGGTCAACTGATAGCCCCAGGAAAGCAATGGACATTAAGAAAGGACATTCTCAAATATTAGATGTTCCTGGGAATTTTAGAAATAAAGACCTAGGAGTAGCATTTTAATTTGGAGCCTTATGAAGGAAAGCTGAATACCATGGACTCCTCATGAAGAGAAGAAATGAACAACAATGACACTAGAAAAAGATTTGGGGGAGTCCACAATTTTTTATTTATATTTATTTACTCGACACTAATTTTATTGAGTTGCTAAAGGTTCAACATGGTTTGGGGCATTACCGTACAAACGAAAATCCTATTCTCACCCTACATAGTATCTATGAGGAGAGATGGACAATTTATGAAGCTATGCAGGAGCTTTGAGTATTGATTGGAGAAGTATAAAGAGCTCACACACAGCAGGGATATCAAAATCTGCACAGCAAGCTCAGGGAAGCTTACCAGAAAAAATGGCCTCTGTGCTGAGTTCATGGAAGCTGAACCTTATGAGTTGAAAAGCACAAAGAAGTTGAATGTGGCTGACGGATAGCATGCAGGGACGGTAGGACAGCGTGCGAGAGATGGTGCTGGAGCCATAAGCAGGGAGCAGGTCATGAGAGCTCTATGAGATATTAAGAAGGTTGGACTTTCCTCAGTAAGCACTGGGAAGCCTTTAAAAGTTTCAAGCAAGGAATGCATGGCAAGACCAGATGTGCATTTGCAAACTTCGAACATTGAAGCGCAGCAAGGTGGCAGGCCAAGAAGCTACTGTGGTTCTACAGGTGAGGAGTAATGGCAGCCTAGACTAGAGGGGGTGCGTGGGGAAGGAGAGAAGCAGAAAGACTCAAGAGGGATCCTTTTAAGGAGATAAAATGGACCTGGTAGGTGATTAATGTGGGAAACAGGTAAAAAGATGAATCAAGGTTTAGACCAGCATTTGCCTCAGTGGGATTCTGAACACCCCAGAAAGAAACAGGTCTATGGAAATAGATCATAAATTCCATTTTGGCAAGTGGAGTTTGAGATGGCTATTAAATACAGTCGCGGAAATTTCTATTGAAAGCATCACTTCCTGGTAGAAATATAATGCGGTCCACAAATGCAAGCCACAGGCCTTGTCTTAAATTTTATAGTATCCACATTTAAAAAGTAAAAAGAAACAGGTGAAATAAATTTTAATAATATATTTAGCCCAATATATTCAAAATATTATCATTGCAACATAATCAATACAAATTATTATGATATTTTAGATTCTTTTTTCATACTAAGTCTTAGAAATACAGTGTGTATTTTATTAATTCACTCTTCGAGCACATCTCAATTCCGACTGGCCATATTTCAAGTGTTCAGTCACCGTATGTTTCTAGTGGCTACAATACCAGAGAGTGTAGATTCTAAGGGCAGTCAGTTAAATGCGTCTAGAGTGCAGTTGAGCAGTGTGAACTGGAGGAACAAACTTTGGAATCATTAGTGACTGTTAACTGAGGTTGTGGAAATACATCAGCTGGGAAGAGTATATGGCTTGAGAGGAAAGGAAAGCTTATTACAGAACCCTAAGGAACACCAGTGCTTAAGAGACAGAAGAGGTGAGAAAGGAAATCTGGGAAGAGTGTACAAAAATCTACTGATAATATTATACTCGGTCCATGTAATTATCTCTATACAGAAGAATCATTTATCTAAATTTTGGGATCAATAAATCCAAGAGCTATGTGAGGTGTGTCATTATTATGGGACCCTGGAGAAAAGCAGTGGCTGGGATATATTTCTGAAACGAGGTCCTGACTTACATTGGCAAAGCTCACAGCCTCATCAGGAAGACTGAGGTCTACAGAGGTCAGTAGGTGGAAACAGAAGCTGGGAAAGGAACCCCACCCAGAACACCTGCAGCTCCTACAGAAAGCTGGTTTGCAGAAGTGTGAGAGAGAGAGCAACGTAAGCAGGACTCACGCAGATCAAGCGTGTGATCATTTTAACAAATCACAAACTAGAATCTGCCTTGTAGAGAGTGGCAGGTTTTTCTTCACCCAAATATTAAATAACATGGCCAACTTCAAATATTTATATGCCTCTGCTAGCTTTGAGTCACAGGAACCTATAAAACGGAAAGTGCCACTAATGTGAGCACCGTCAAACTTAAGGCAGTGGACGACAGGAATATATTGAAGATCACCAATGTCAAACAAAGAAGTTATAGTGGAAATGGACCAGAGAGGGGGCCTATCAAGGAAGAAATCACACTCCAAGAGCTTGGTTTTCAGCAAAGGGGCAGGGGGTGCCTTGTTTATGCAGATATGTAAAGCCTCACTCCCTGCCCTCCCAGGACCACTTGCTGAGGGAGGAGGGTAAGGGTTGAAAGTAAAGACGGCAGGGTGCTTATGCCATATCATATCTCCATCAACAGGCAACCCCAAAAGATCAGGACTGTGAGAGCTTTGTAAATCAACTCTTAGGGTGCTTGCCCCAGGGCGGATAGCACAACAAATTAATCCTTTCTCCATGAAATGCAGCAAAGTTTGTATCTACACTGAATTCAAATTGCTCATTAGCTCTGACATGTTCCTAATGAGGTTATAATGCTCTGGGACAAAGATCAAGCCACTGAGCACAAATAGCTAGGGATAGAATTATAAAAATTAAAAACAAGAAGGGCCTTAGGGCAGTGCTTCTCAAAGTTTAATAGGAATCACCTGGACCTTCAGATTCAGGACATCTGGGGTCTGGTCTAAGACTCTGCATTTCTAAGAAGTTCCCTGATGGTGCTGATGCTGCTGGTCCCTGGACCACACTTTGAGCAGAAAGGCCTTAGAGATAATCTAATCCAATTGCTATCCTAGAGGTAAGAACTTAGGGCCAAGAGACTTGTAATTGGAAGTATACCAAGACTTCCCAATGGCTAATTTGGGACAATTGGATATTTGTCCATCGACCTATAGGTCAACCTGAAAATTTTAAATAGCATCTAGGAGGTAGGGTGACCAGTCATCCTAGTTGACTGAAGAAGTTTCCTGGACATAGGATTTTCCATTTCAAAACCAAAAATATTCCTGAAAAACCAGAATGAGTTTTTTACCCTACTAGGACACTTTTGAATCTTGTTAGAATATAGCATCAGGATTATCTTCTTCTTGACCTTGTCAGTCCCAGAGTGATGGAATCATGACTTGCTACCAAAGCAAGCACCTAAGTGTGCAGTCTTGAAGGTCTCAAAGAGCAAATGTTCAAACAGGGTTGAGGCTCTGCAGAGCCTTCCAATACCACACTGACAAGTGCCTCTCCAAGACAGAGCCCACCAACAGATCTCAAAGTAAGGTATATAAAAAGAGTACAGAGAATACATAGAAATAAATATTGTACATGCATATAATGTTCATTCTAACTACACAAATCTATTTTATTTTCCTCGTTTGAAAAAATGCATATAGGAAATAAATCACTAGCTTTTATAAACCTCAAAACACTCATTAAAAACATCTTTGGTGGAAACAGTAAAATAACAATAAAAAATCAAGCTGCATCCCTGAGAATGAAGAAAAAGTCATGCTCTGCACCATCAAAATGATTAGAAATGAAAACATATCCCTCCATTTTGCTATTTCACTCATTGGAATTGAGCCCCTTAACGTTAGATAGAATAATGAACAGTCTGGAAAGCAAAAGTGGAAAATTTTCTGACTATTCAATGCTAGCCAGTGTATTGCTAAGGCTTCCCCAACAGAATGTCAAGATACTATTCCCATATGCGTTCAAAATGCAGTTAGTCCTGACCACAATGACTCTCACTCTCCAGAGTTTACCTGTTCAAATAAGATGCCAACATGGTATGACTAAATTACTTGACTTAATATTCATAGAGTTAGGACACTTAAAACAATGGAAGGAAATAAGTCTAGCTAAATATATACAATGCATTTGAAATAAGTAAAAGACAGAACCCTAGACATTCAGCAATCATTATCTGGAAATTAAAGAGGGCAGAAGCAATCCTATTATGAATTATAAACAGCCCAGCTGCTGACTTAATGGTAGTTCGAGTAGCATAACCAAGGAGTCCTTGCTTCAATATTAATAGGAAATGTATTGTACAAATCCAATAGTTCATGAAATTAACAAGGAAAATGAACTAGAGTGAAGCAACTTTGCAAGTAACAGGAGGCATCAGCAACTGCTTCCCTGGAGCATATTGAACACTTTGAAAGAGCTTGGGGAGAGTACAGGTATAAAAATGAGAATGGACATTATTAGAATTTTTTAATAATACTTTTAATTTAAATGTATTTCCAATTCTCTGTTGGTTGCAAGTCTTCGTAAGAAGCTATTAGCTCAAAATGTCAATAAGAGGTCAGAAGCTATGAGCGCTGGTCCAATGATATTGAAAGTTAGTTGCCATTTGAGTCAGCCTAAAACTGTTCATGATTTGACAGCTGTCAAAATTATCCCTATTTCACTTTTGTAGAACTAAATACTTCAAATAATCTAGAAAACAATTTCCCTTCTACAAGCTTCAACAGCCTGAATGATAGACACATGCTCATTGGCAAGCTAAAAAGTATAGTTAATTCTACTTACAAACCAATAGACATACGATGAAAGAGAACACCTCCCCCACAGACACTGCCAGGGATAATCCGACCGAAGCTGGCATTGACCAAACAAGAAGCAGAAAGGGTTTCCATAGAAGCGAGAATGTGACTTCTATTTTTCCCAGACAGAGACCCATCCAAGTCTTCCAAAATTGCTGCATGAGGAAATGGAAATGCTACTAAGTTTGGAGAGTTTGTAAACTTCAACTGGTTGGTCTTCACAGTAAATCCACCTACAAATTGGAAGACAGAAAGACTTACAAAATGGCACAAAAGACTATTATCACAAATGGCAACTAAATTTACCAGAGTGCTTTCAGTAATTTAAATAGTATATATACAGTTCTACAATTCGTTCATTCATTCAATAAAAACATATCATGAGTGCTTACATATGTGCTAGGGATACCGAGGGAAACAAGAGCAGCATTGGCCCTATCTTCACACAGCCTGTTATCTAGGGCAGATTTTTCTACTGTGGCAGTTTTGCCCTCAAGGGACGTTTGGCACTATTTGGAGTCATTTTTGGCTATCACAACTCGGGAGCTGACAGTGTTAGTGGAGCTAGTGGGTGGAGACCAGGGTTGCTGCTAAACATCCTCCAATGCATAGAACAATCCCCACAACAAAAAATTATCTGGCCCCAAATGCCAATAGTGCCAAGGGTGAGAAACTCTGGTCTAGTGGGAAATAGAAACCGAAAACTTAACAACTACTAAACACTAAAGGTGCTATGATTTAGTCTCAATCTTTCAGCTTCCATTGCTCTATGGTGAATCTACCCCATCAACAATACCTCTTACTATGAGGTTTATACTTTAAACATTTACCTTCAAAAGCAGCATTCAATTAATCATTTGAGCAAATAGTATTAGTAACACATTTTCTAAGTATTAGCTCTAGGGCTATACTTCTTGGCAGGCTTTCCCTAACACCACTGCCATGTGATTCGTTGGTACTGCCAGTCCAATTGCCTGGAAACAAACTACGGCAGTGATCTTCTAACTCACACACCCATATCATTAAAGGAAGAAAACTGAGTACACATCTCCCAGTACACAGGCTACCGTACTATTGTAGTACACACATTATAAAATACACGAAAGAGGAAAATAAGAAAGAATGAGATACAAACAGAGGCACCCCAGCAGAATGAATACAAGCAGTGAATTAATTCATGCATGAAAGACTCCACAATTCCACCTCTTGCAACCTCTGAGGTGAGGTTCATCTAACACCATTGCAGCTCTACATTTCAGTCATATTGGGCTTCTTTGTGATTCCCAAGCACAACTTGCTCTTTGGAATTTCTATTTTTTTTTTTTTTTTTTGCATATGCTCTTCCTAATACCTAGGAACTTGTCTCTGCCTATTCCCTCTTGCAAACTTCTATTCACCTTTCAAAACCCTATTCAAGAATCCCTTCTATGAAATCTTACCTGAAGCCCTTCCTTGGTCCCTTCACTGACCCTGTTCAATCCTCTAGCACTGCAGTCATCACACTCTATTACAATAATGAGCTTAGATATTCATTTTTGTGCCTACATCAAGCGTTTTTGGAGGACAGGGACTATGTATTTTTCATTTTTGTACTCCCCAGTTCCATAAGCAGAGGCTGGAATAGACAATTTTTAAGCAAATGAAGAGACAGTTTAGCTAAGATCATCCAGTGAGCTCTTTAGCATTAGAGCTCATAAGGACTAATGTGATTTTTTTCAGTGTCTTATGAATGATATGAAACAGAGAAGCTATTAAAGAATTCAGGAATTATGATTGGAAGTCCTTGCCATGAGGTATTTTTTATTCCTTTTGTTATTTCTGCAATCTTAAACTCAGAAGCCACCCAAACAAAAACAATCTTTTGCTCTCCCTACCCAAGGGGAAAAAAACAAAAAAAAAGGTAAAGTGGAGACTTGCTGATTATTCATTTAATTAAAAAAACAAACAATTATCTAAATTGGTGATTCAAACCACAAGAGCATATTTACTTGAATCACTTGGTTTGGCTGTTTACAATGATCAAATCAACTAGATTGCTCTCTACCTCTTTGCACGTTGGCCCGTGAGTCCTCCAAGATACTTCTCACCACCTCTGAGATGTAGTTAACAAGTAAGCAAGAATCCCTATGGTTCCTTTGTGCATACATCAAGCCGTGGACTGCTGAAAACATTGAGTGCCTAAACTTTGGCTCTTTCAGAAAAGGTCCTATGCATGATATTTTATCTCCATGTGTCCTTCCATTCAACTCCATTCACTCATTCAATCAGTGAACTACCTACTAGGCACCTGGCTCTCTGCTAGGTACTAATAAGAAAACTGAGCAAGAGAGACATGATCCCTCCCTTTATGAAGCTCAGGGTCCAGCAGAGACATAGCACTATAATTATAGAATGTGATGGGCACCACAGGAAGAGGATGGGGGGAGCTGCAGGAACTACACTGGGAGCACCTCTAGGATTTCTCTTAGGAGATTTAAGCAACAGTTTCTACTGATGCAATCTTGTAACTGAAAGAAATAATGATTCACAAAGGCTTCACCACTGTTTACCATTTTCTCCTGAATATTGCCTTACTTACCATCTGTCCTGTCTATTCAAATAACTTACCTTGTCCTTGGGAACAGCCTGAACAGGTTCTTATGGCCACACAGTTGATGAGATCAAAATTAACAAAGGTTGTGTTAGATACCATCAGTTCCCATCTTTTGGGAGTTTTAATCCCAGCTGACATACACAGACCTCCCTGTGATTTTAGAGGGAAAAATAGGAAAGCAAAATAAGAGAACTGACTACATATAAATACAGTTTATAATGCACAAATGAAAATCAGAAGATAAAAAGATAAGCTACAGACTGGGAGAAAATATTTGCCAAGCACATTTATAACAAAGGACCTATATCCAGAATATAAAAGGAAGTCTCAAATCTCAACAGAAAGAAAATAGACAACTCAATTTAAAAAATCAGAAAAATAAAAAACCTTGAAAAGCCACTTCACCAAAGAGAATATACATATTGCAAATAAGCACATGAAAAAATGTTCAACAATGTTATTCATCAAGGAAATGCAAATTATGATCACACTAAGATACACTAAACACCTATTAGAATGACTAAATAACAAATTGTGACAATAGCAAGTTCTGATGAAGATGAAGAACAACTAAAACTCTTACATATTCCTGGTGGAATGCAATGGACAGCTACTGTGCAAAACAGTTTGGCAGTTTCTTATAAAGTTAAATATAAACTTATCATATGACCTAACAGTATTAAAAACTCCTAGGTTAGAGAAATGAAAACCTACGTTTATACAAAAACCTCATACTGATTCTAACAGCTCCAGTTTATAATCACCAAATCTGGAAACAACTCAAAAGTCTTTAAACAAATGAGTGGATAAACAAACTGTATTACATCCATACAGTAGATACTACTCAGCAACAATGAGGAATAAAATATCGGTCCATGCAACAAGTTGGATGAATTCCAAAGGCATTTGGGAGGACAGGAAGCTATTTTCAAAAGGTTGCATACTATATAATTCCATTTATACGATTGTTGAAAAGGCAAAAGTACAGTAACAGAGAATAGTGATTGACAGGGGTGAGAAGTGAGAGGACCATGTGGCTACAAGGAAGGAGCATGCAGGAGTCAGGATTGATGCAACAGTTCTGTGTCTTGATTGTGGTGGTGGTGACACAAATTTACACATGTGTTAAATTTATGGAACTGTACATCAAAAAATGTCCGTTCTGCTGTATTTTAATATACATTAAAAAAAAACTTTAACAGAAAGTCTAAAAAGAAAGAAACAAGAACCACTTCCAAGATTTTCCACAAAAATCTCTTCAACAAATTCAATCCAATCAAGCTGTTATTGCCTCACTGATCCATGTAAAAATAGTTGTCCATTTGAAGATCACCAGAATTTTTTCGAGAGCCTCTCACATAAAAAAACAGTGATAAAAATAAACAAGCATCAGAAAAGAAACCCAGGAGAGACAAAGCTAGCATAGAAATCAGAAGAACACTTAAACACTATCACTAATAATCTCAGAGAAATAAACATATTATATCCATGAAACAAATAGAAGCCTTAAAAAGGGATTTTCAGAAAAGAAATAAGAACAAAAATAGGAGAGTAGAAACAAGAAATTCAACAGATAAATTGAGAAAACATTCCAGGAAGTAGAACAAAAAAACAAAGAAACAGAAAATCAAAGAGAAAATTAAGATTATAAAAGCAATTCAGGAGGTTCAATATCCAAATAACAATAGTTTTAAGAGAAAAAGAAAATACAGGGGAGAGAATTATCAAAGAAATAATGGAAGAAAACTTCCCAGAAGGGAAGGATATTTTTCAGGTGAAGTTCTGCCCAGTACCTAACGCAGTGATTAGAAAAAGAGCCACACCAAGGTAAAGACCTAGAATCAGAATATCTTAAAACTGCTCAACCTCAAGACTAGAAGAAGCTAGATGACAATGGAATATTGCTTTCAAAATTTCAAGGAAAATTAACTCTAACCTGGTATCCTGTAACCTACAACCTACCAATAAAGAGGTCTCCATATGCAGCTCAAAACCTTTACCTTCCATGGTTTGCCTTTGTTCCAGAAAGTCACTTTAAGCTATGAGTTAACAAAGTGAGAAATTAAGCCAGAAAAGAGGAGTATGTGGAAATCAGGAACAAGAGTTCCAATACTAGAGAGACATGAAGGCAATGAGAATTTTGGTCAAGACAGATTCCAAGATGTAGCTTTGAAACCATTCTCATACATTGCTGGCACAGGTGTGATCACTCTGGACTGTTGTTTGGCATTATCCACTAAAACTACTCTATTACCCAGAAATTTTACAGCTTGGCATGTATTCAACAGAAATGCGTGCAAATGAAGACCAAGAGACATATAGAAGAACATTCATAACATCATTTTTGTAATAACCAAAAACTTGAAACAATCAATTGTCTATCAACAGCAACACAACTTAAAAAAATTATAGTACAGATATAAAATGAAACATTCCACAATGATTGGAAGAATAAATTATTGTAACACACAAAAACATGCATGTATCTCATAGACATAATGTTGTGCCAAAGAAGCCTGGTACAACAGAGTTATTAATACATGCTCTATGATTCCACTCATATGAACTTCAAAAACAAGAGAAATTAATCTATGCCAATGGACATCTGAATACTGCTTCCCCTTTGGCTAGGGAGTGGTTAGTGGGGTTGAATGGAGAGCAATGAAGGGGCTTTAGAGAAATCGATAATGTTCTATTTCTTGATCTGGGGGTGTGTACACAACTTTTTTTCTTTATAAAAATTCATTGAGCTCTTCCCTTTTGATTTATGCACTTTTCTCCATAAACGTTGTATTTCCATGAAATATTTACTTTAAAAAGTGGAACAAATACTAGAGAAAAGTAACATAGAAGATGGGAGGGCAAAGAAAGAAACTAAAGAAGTTTAGTGTTCTTAAATTGTTCAGGTAAAGTTTAATAATGCTGAAGTAATTTAGACTTTGTTAAGACAGGCAGGCACGTTAAAAATTTAAGGCCAATAACGAAAATAATCATAACAGAATGAATAACTTCCAAATGAGTAAATATAAAAAGATACTATGCAATGCAAGACAAATCAAGTTAGGAAAGTAGAAAGAAAAAAAAACCCAAAACCGGATTGCAAACTGAAAGCACAAAATAAGATGGCAGAAATAAATGCAAATGTATGGGAGACGTCAGCATGTGGATGGTAATTGAAACCACTAGAGAAAATGAGATTTCTCCCAGGGAGAGCAAGTATATTGAGAAGAAAAGGAGCCCTACAACAGAATTTAGAGAAACAAAAAGATGAAAGGTCTAAATGAGGAAGACAAATCCACAAGTGAAAATGGGAAATAACCCCTAGAGAAATTAGAGGAAAAATGAAGCAACTCCATCAGCATCTGCCTGAATAAGATATTTTTTAAAGTAGCATCATCTACTCAAATTAATTACAATAATGACAAAAAGATAGCCATGTTGCATACTTCAAAAAGTAGGGTGACTATAATTTAAATCCAAATCAGGACATTTTGAATGAGAAGGGGATGCTAAGTGCATAGAATGCTGGGACAAGAGGTATAAACAAACCGCCCAACCAAAGTAGGATATATAACGATGCTGTAGTGACCTCTTTTTCTTCCATATTAAAGCCATCCTCACTGAAAATTATTCTATCCATCTCAACATAAAGGTAATTTTGGGTGTGAGAGTACCAACATACATACAGCATGCTTAAAGGAAAACAAAACCTTCTAATGATAAAAAGTTCTTCCAGAAACTAATGTTAGTTTTAGGATATGACTCACTATAATTGCATGCTACCAATGATTAAGTGGGTGGAAGGTCTACAAATAAATAGGCTGAATTCTCTGAAAATCTTAATTCCTAAAGGAATGGCAGGCACAAAAGAGAGAGGTTAAAATCAGAGTTCCACAACCAGAGAGAGGCCAGGCATCTTCCTTTGTTTTCCCTTTGAATAACACACATGGCAACAAAGTAGTTCCCACATAAATCTGAGAAACACTGTGCTAATTAAAGATAATGCATATTTTTCTTGTTTGTTTTAATCCTAGAATTTCTCAGAGCCTTTAATACGCTTTAATGTTTTTTTCTTTTTTAATGAATTTTATTCTGTATATTTGAGGTTTACAACATGTTATAGGATACATATAGTTAGTAAAATGGTTCCTATAATGAAACAAATTAACATTATCATCCCACACAGTTAATTTTTTGTGTGACAAGAGCGATTTGTTTAACAAAAATCCCAAATACAATATGCAATTTTATTAACTCTCATCCTCATGTTGTATCCTACATCTCTAGACTTGTTTGAGACTTCGGGGAATAAAGGGTGTGGTAAACAGCATAGCATGAATGTAATTTACCAAAGAACCTCCTTTTCCCAAACAATCTCTGGGGGCTATCCTTTCATGGAAAACACTTCAGGGGCTATTGGTTTAGGCACTAGAAAATGTTGATTGCCAAAGACATTTTCCATGTGCGATCGAAAGAGTATTTGACCAGGAATAGGAGGATATCAGGATGGTCCTAGCCCCACAATAGTAGGCATGAATCTCGAACTATCATTCGACTTTCCCAAAGCCTCCATTTCTTCAACTGTAAATTCAGGAATTTTAACCAGATCATCTCTTAAATAATATTTAGCTTTTAAATTGTATGGGTTTATGATGTGGATGACTAACATGCATCCAGACATCTCCTAGAACAAAACTATTTAATATAACGTACCAGGGACCCTTGTCCTGCACTTACTTGTTAAGAGACCAAAAGGCCCTGAGCTGCATTGCATTCCTAATGAATCACACCCCAGGGGAAGGATTATTTTTGATTATCTCATGATAAGCACCCTTTTGTCATAATTTGTATCTTAATTTATGTCACTCTCCCATTAATTATGATGCCTATTTAACATCAATTAAGATGCTGCATCACTAATTTACCAGGACAGTTAGTTACTCAGTTTGATGGGAGTTTTGTTTTTAGCATCTACTGTAAGGTTATTTCTGAGAAAGTTGAGGACCTTTGACATACCAGCATCACCGAATCTAAATCTGGGTGCCATCCTCTCTTAAAAAATATGCAATCTGGAAAGAATCATCTCTCAAGGTAGTAATTCTTTTATAGAAATGGAAAAAGTACCAGGTATTTATCTCCTGAAAAGGATGGTTCAAAAATAGATTTAAATAAGAAAAGTTGAAAATTAAACATAGGAAAATGTAGCTTAACATGAAAATGATTTCTTAAATATTACTATTTTTATCTATAGCAATGAAATAACTTTCAGTGGAAGTACAAAAGTCAAAAATTATCATTTACATTTCAATTGAACAGGAGGGTCACAATGGCTCACATCTATAGTTCTAGCACTTTGGGAGGCCAAGGAAAGAGTATTACTTGAGGCCAGGAGTTCAAGAGCAGCCTTAGCAACATAGCAAGACCTCTTCTCTACAAAAAATAGAAAAGTTAGCTGGGCATGGTGGCTCACACTTCCAGTGCCAGATACTCAGGAGGCTGAGCCAGGCAGACCACTTGAGCCCCAGGAGTTTGAGGTTGCAGTGAGCTATCATGAAGACCCTGTACTCTATCCTGGGCAACGAGTGAGACCCTGTCTCAAAAAAAAAAAAAAAAAATCAACTGGACAAAATTTAGGAGCAAACTGATGAAAATGTCCTTTCCTTTGTTCCCAGGAGTACCGTAAGACTCTTCAATCTATGATTTTTATGACAACATGATTATTAATATGCATGTTGCTCTCTTAAGACCAAGAATATGGAGGACCCACTATGGGTATGAAGCCCAAGAAACCAATGGCAGCTATGAAGTTCCCTTAAGGAGAACTAGTATTTCTCACCTGGGTAGTAAGTAGTATTTACTTCATCTACATTCTGGTACCCTGACCCTGCAATGGTGGAGAATCCATCTATAGCCTGATTTTTTCATGCAGAAATCCACACTTAGGCAAGTATTAGGAAATCGCATGCAAAATCTGAATATACTACAACAAACTACACATATTTATATTACCTTATTTGACCTCTTTTTTGGGGGGGCGCCCAAAATAGAGTAAGAACAATGACAAAATGTTGATGTAGAAACTTGGCAAACTGTAGAGCAGAAAGACAATATGGAATCATGCTATTCCGTAATACTTGTGAGGTTAGAGAAAATTCAGCTAAATTATTAGGTTTATTGTTAAATTTGTGTGGATAATAATTCTAAGTTGTAACCAAATAGGAATTCTGCAAGCTACTCATGACTATTATGATTTATATGGACTCATAACAACGAAACCCTGTGTATATTTGAATTTTATTATCAATATCACCACTGTTACAAATAAAAATCTCCTCTAACTTTTACCAATTAAATACAATACTCACCAAAGAATGCTATTAGAATTACATATGCTGGATCATCAGGGAGCCACACACATACAATTTTGTTTTGATGAACAGCCTAAAGCAACTACACGAAGGCACTTACCTTGTGGGCAAAATGACCAAGTAATAAGCTGTCAGTAACTGAAGTATTTGCATCACTTTCCAAGATGTCAATTCCAAAATCTCTGCATGAATAAATTTGGAAGTTTTCCAGGTGAAGATTGCTACTTCTGAAAATCTATAAAATAATACCATATGTTATGGCAAAGGTCTGGGGCTTGGTTTTTCTTGCAGACTTTCTGTAGCTTTTTTAATTATTGATTAAGTATAAATAAGCATGCTATATCATATTTAAGCAGCGTTTGTCCATCGGTATTACGGCAGACATCCCAAAGTTGATGTGAGGTCAGTGCTCACTAGTCCCCTTTGGTAACACCCCCTCCATAGTTTCCATTTCTCCTCATGATAACTGATACATTAAAAAGGTCAACTGGAATTCTCCACCTGTCTAAAATAAAACTTGCAGTGGCCAAGTCACACAAAATTAATGGAGAAAAGCACAGCATCCAAGAACTCCAGTGCTTAACATTTTCCTCAGTGTAGTATAATCATATAGTCAGAAGATTGCAAATATGAAATAAATAATTCAGCATGATTACAGATTCACTATTTGTGGATTTAACATATGTCATGCACATATATACTTATGACACCTTGTGTTAGTGTACCCAGATGGGGTTCAAGTAGGAACAAAATCAGCTGGTAGAGTTGAAAGAATCCCAATTGTTATGATTTCAATTTGTCCCCAACAAAGCCTGTGTTGGAAACTTAATCCCAATGTAATTGTGTTGGGAGATGGAGCCTAAAGGGAGGTGGGTCATAAGGATTCCACCCTTATGAATGGATTAATGCCAATTACAAACAGACTTGAGGCTGCAGTTCCATCTCTTGCTCTTTCTTTCCCTCTCTTCAACTTTCCTTCCTTCTTGACACAGCAAGAAGGCCCTCACCAGATGCTGGCCCCTCAATCTTTGACTGTAAGTCAACAAATTTCTATTTATTACAAATTACCCAGTCTGTAGTATTCCATTATAAAAGCACAAAACAGACTAAGACACCACTGGTGTGCAAGACAGAGCTTTTGGTTTTCACCTATCTTTAATAACTACTATGTGATTTGGGGCATGACATTTAACTTTTCCTGGTGCTCAGTTCAGCCTTCTTTAAAATAAGGGTGGAGGTCAGGGCTGGCAGTTAGCCTAACACAGTTATCCTTTATTCATTAAATAGGGTCATGTTTATATTCATATCTTTAACTGGAAGTCTCCTATTAATTAAGGTCGAGGTATCCTTGATTTATCATGCTATTGTACTTCTACCTGTCAGTCAGTCTTTGTGCTCAAATTTTTAAGAATTGAATAGTTCACATTTCCCATTATGTATGTATCTAAACCTTTCATAAAATGATAGGTCTTTGAAGACATAGAGATTTATTTAATATTTGAACAAAATAGGTATGATCTGAACTGATAACTTTTTGACAACAGTTATCACCTAATTACAGATATCAACAAATATATTCATATTTTCAAATATATTCATATTCAAAAAGAGCTAACACCTAGCATTAACTAGGGAACCTGCTAATTTTAAAAAGAAGCTAACGTACTATAGCAAAGTGCACCTATTTGTGGGTGTGAATACAATTTTCACGGTGTACTGTCATCTTTCTCTCCTTCTTTGAAAAGAATCATCTTGCATTTATGACACAGGGCGAAGAGAGGGTACTTTTCTCTACTCTTATTAACATATAAATAGAAAGGTCAGATTGCCTGAGTTGGATTTAACAATTCTTAGTTGTGTGACTTCAGCAAGTATTTTATCCCCTTAGATAGTTTTATATACAAAAGGAGTATAATAATGGCACACCTCCCCCAAAAGTTGTTAAGATGATTAAATGAAAAATTTCCAAAATCATTATCAATATCACCAAAGAGATATAAACTCATGTTTATTCACAATAGGAATTTTCTGCTCAATATCACTAATCATAGAAAAATGCAAATTAAAACCACAATGACATATCACTTCATACCTATTAGAATGACTATTATAAAAAATGAAATGAAAAATAACAAATGTTGACAAGGATGTGGAGAAAAGGGTACTCTTGCATACTATTGGTGGGAATGTAAATTAGTACAGCAATTATGGAAAACAGTACGGAAGTCCCTCAAAAAATTAAAAACTGCCATATGATCCAGCAATCCCACTACTGGGTATATGTCTAAAGGAAATAAGATTCATATGTCAAAAAAATAGCTGCATTCCTACATTCATTGCAACATATTCAAAACAGCCAATAAAAGGCTAATATCCTGAATCTACAAATCAGCAAGAAAAAAACAAACAACTCCATTAAAAAGTGGGCAGAAAATATGAACCAAAGTTTTTCATAAGAATATAGACAAATGGCCAGAAAGCATATGAAAAAAGTGCTCACCATCACTAACCATCAGGGAAATGCAAATTAAAACCACAATGAGATATTAACTCTCCCCTGTCAGAATGGCCATGATAAAAAAAATCAAAAAACAATAGATGCTGGCATGGATGCAGAGAGAAAGGAACAGTTATACACTGTGGGTGGGACTGCAGGTTAGTGTAGCCTCTATGGAAAATGGGATGGAGATTTCTCAAAGAAATAAATGTAGATTTACCATTACATCCAGCAATCCCACTGCTGGGTATCTACCCAAAGGAAAAGAAGTCATTTAATGAAAAAGATACCTGCACTTTTATGCTTATCAACTGCACAATTCACAATTACAAAGATGTGGAATCAAGTGCCAATCAATTCATGAGCTGATAAAGAAAATGTGGGGGGTGTATGTGTGTGCGTGTGTGTGTGTGTGTATACACCATGGTGTACTATTCAACTATAAAAAGGAATGAAATAATGTCTTTTGCAGCAACTTGCATGGAACTGGAGACCATTTGTCCTAAGTGAAGTATCTCAGGAATGGAAAAACAAACACCACAGTTACTCTCTAATAATTGGGAGCTAAACGATGGGTACACACAGGCACAAAGAGATGTAAAGAACATTAGAAAACAAGAAGTGGGGAGGGTGGGATTGAGTTAGGGGTAAAAACTTACCTATCAGGTACAATGAACACTACTATGGTGATACACACACTAAAAACCCTGACTTAAGCCTTATAAAAGGTATCTATGTAACAAAAACGTTTGCATCTCCTTAATACTTTGAAATAAAAATAAATAGATTAATTTTTAAAAATCACTTGATCATACATGTATGAGTTTATTTCTGGAGTCCCACTTTTATTCCGTTGATGTATATGTCTATCCTTGTGCTTATACCACACTGTCTAGATTATTGTTGCTTTGTAGTAACAATAGGCTTTTGAAATAGGAAAGGGTAAATTCCCTTACTTTATTTTTTTCAGGATTGTTTCAAAGATGGCTACATTTTAAATTTGGTGCTGTCCTGTTATTTACTTTGCCCTTTATTCTTTCTTACACAAATGAACTTCCAAAAGTATTCTAATTATTTGAATTTTTGATTGATTAAATTTGGGCATACAGGAGTTCAATCTGTAAGCCTCCATTTTCTCTTTCACAGGCTTAGTATTTTTGATTGTAGAACTTGAAAAACTGGTTTCAATAAGCATCTTTTAATTTTTTTCATTTTGTTCATTTAGCCTCTAGAATAAGGCTACTCAAGAGCAGAAAGACTGAGTTTAAGCCTTTCCAAAGCATGAATTGCTTCTTTGCAAAATAAGGCACTTACCAAGTGTTTCCACTGGGTTTGTTGCCCCTTATTAATAGTACTTATGGGAAATGATGTATTTTATAAAATTAAATGAGAACTAAGTACAATTGAGATTCTACCTGTCAGCTATCCCAATTATATATTTTTGGGCTTTCCTCATCCATAATTGTCTTCCACTTGTTAAACACGTGACATAAATGTCTGGCTTTCTTATTGTGACTTAATTATACATTTTTATTCTATTTCCTGAATACTCTGTAAACATATTTCTTCATCTATGCATCCCAGGCCCCAGATTTATAAGTGGCAGAGATCAAGTGTATATAATTTTCTCTGTACAGCATCAAATACTGACACTGAATAATTTTTACATGTTTCTATTAACAGTGAGCATGCGAGGCACACTTATAAGAAAATAACTGTGATCATGAAAAGTAAATGATTACATATGAAACTTTTTTCTTTTGAAAAAATAGAAGAAAGCTTATTGACTAAAGAAAGAATGGCACCTTGAGCTGGAATTTTTTTTAATATTTTTGTTTGTTTTACAATTTTTTTATATACACACCTAGTGGATGAACTGGAATTTTTATGTTCCAACAATGAACAGTGCTTTTTCTTAAGACCGGAGCATGTATTATTCAGCATATTAGAATATCAAATGCACAACATTTGTAGTCTAGATTCTGCACTTGATTGTGCTACTAATCAACTGTGTGACCTTTGACAAGTCCCTTTACTTTCTGAGCCTTAGTTTCTTATCTCTAAGTAAGGATGGGAAAGAAGGAATGGATGACCTCTGTAATCCCTCCTGTTTTAAATCTCTATGATACTGTTGTTCTCTATTATGGCTGCCAAAAAGACACAAAGGAGGAAATGACCTAACCCTAGAATGTGTTCATTCAACAGCTATTTTACACACTCCTTTGATGCCAGTGGCTATTTAAAACTGTAATAACATTGCAATTCCCCCTTCAGCAGCAGATCACATCCCCCCCTTTAAATAGAGATGCATAATAAATTTCCATGAGAAAACAAGAGACAGTTTTCATTTTAAAAAGTAAAGACACTTACCTGAGCACCACCTGCACTTCCCCAAACCACAAAGTTTTGGAACAGGGTGGGGCCAGTGCCATTATCCCAAGGTGGCTGAAATTTAGGGTATACAAAGAGACCATACCTAGAAAGTGAAACAAAGGATGAAATTAAACCAATTTCTATATTTCTAACTTCCCACTTTTCCTTGTTGGAAAATACAAAAGTAAAAGTAATGAATAAGGGAGAGTGGAGACAGACAAAACCTGTAAACCTCCTCTCTAGCTCTCATTGCCCATCCCTCAACCCTTCCACTCTGTTACCTTCCATGACCTGCTCCGTTCCTGGATCTCAACAAAATGCAGATTGCTGTGATGCCCTGCTATTCTATCAGCCCCTCAAAATTCACTCCTTCTTAGGAGAGAGGATCCCAGCACCTGTGATCCTTTGACTTTTGTTCTTCTAGCTGCAGTGCCCTACCATTTCTGTACTGTGGATACATTCTTCCCTCAGGTTCCAGGGCTGCCAAGAACTGCTGGATAAAACTTCACGTTCATAAAGACAATTTCATTACACATGTACTAAACCCAGCCTCAGCTGGCACTTTAACATTGCATAGCAATTGTTCATATCCTGATTCTACTCTTCTTATCATTTTCCATCATGGCAGTATTACTAACACTGTTACCATCATTATCTATAGTTATCAGTTATTGAGTTCTCACTGTATTCTAGGTACTCTCCTAGATGCATTATATAAATTATCTGTAATTTTCCCACCAAATTTTCAATTTGGAAAGGAGGAAAGGAGGAAGAAAGAAAGAATGAAGGAAAGAAAGAAAAAATTGACTAGGAGTAGAGTCAGGGTGTGAATCAGGCCTGGCTGACTCTGAAGTCGGCATTCTCCCCATACTTCTCAAATCCCCTACACCACCTTGCCTCCCCATGTCCTCTTGCTCTTAGCAGATGACCTTACCCTCTACATGTCAAAGATTTTGAACAAGTCTCTTCTTATCTTACAGTGAGCAAGTCACAGGCCCAGGGCATCTTCTCCAAGGCTCATCTCTCCTCTTCGCTCCTGAGCCCAAGCCCACCAGCCTCCCAGGGCTTCTGCATTACCCACTGCTCTCAGTGTCTTGGTAGATTAATCGTTCTCATTGAATTCTCCCTGGCCGCAAAAGGTATGTTCTATCCTGCTTCTTTTTCAAGTGAACTCCTTTCTCTTCCCTTCACTACCAAACTTTTGTGAACCAAAATGCTTACACAGGTATTCACCAATAGCCAAGACATGGAGGCAGCCTGGGTGTCCACGGACGGGACAAATGTGTGATACTTACAATGTAATAATATTATTCAGCCTTTAAAAGGAAGGAAATCCTGCTATTTGTGGTAATGTAGATGAACCTGGAGGACACTGTGCTGGGTGAGGTAAGCCAGGCACAGAAGAAGAAATGCTACATGATACCACTTCCATGAGAAATCCAAAATATTCAAACTCAAAGAAGAAGAGAATAGGACGGTAGTTGCTAGGGGGTGGGGGAAGGGGAAAACAAGGAGGTATTAGTCAAAGGGCACAAAGTTTCAGTTACGCAAGATGAATAAGTCCCAGAGACGTACTGTACAGCACCGTGCCTATAGTTAATGATACTGTATTGCATACTTAAAAAGTTGCTAAGAAGTTAGATCTTATGTCAAATGTTCTTCTAATAATAATAATAAATAAAATAAAGAGGGCTAGAGGAAAACTTCTAGAGGTGATAGATATGTTTGTGGCATAGATCATGGTGATGGTTTCATGGGTGTATATTTATCTCCAAACTTTAATACAATTAAATTGTATGTCAGTTATACATCAATAAAATGGTTTAAAAAATACTTACACAGGGGCATCGCCACATCTCAAACAAATGCCAAAAGTGCCCTTCTTGTGAGTATTGTACAGGAAAATGCAAAATCATAAGCCTTACACCCAAAACGTAGGTGAATTTCGCCAGTTACCTTGTGCAGGAATGTGCCATGTTCTGAGTGAAGGAGAGAAGAGGAGCTTGTGAGGTTTGGCTGGTCACAAGATGGAAAAAGTAGCCATAACCAGCAGCACACACTCTGTTCCCCTAGGGAAATTAAGGATAGTTAAAAAATAGTTACTCCGTGTGTGATAGAGTTGCTGTAAAGAAAGACTCTTGTTTGTGCCGGGATTACAGGCATGAGCTATGCTGCCAGGATGACAAACTCTTATTTGTACTCAATCCACTTTTATATTCACTTTCTGCAGAGGTACATTGAAACTTTTGCAGTAATATTCATTCTTTTTTTGCCCCTCAGGATCAAAAACACTCTCATTCCTCTTCCTCCAGGCAGCTCAACTAGACTTTGCCCATCTCAATAATTGGCATCTCATGTTCAAACCTCCTTTTAAGCTTCCACAGTGAGAAGTTTATTTGTGACATCTAATCTAAGCCTCTCCTCTTTGGTGTACATACTGGCTTTCCCAGGGAAAGGCGTACCTTGAAGCCAAGCCTACACGAGGGGTGTCCTCTCTGATCCTTTGAACAAATCAATGATTTGGCTGTGGGCTGAAGGCAAATGATTGGCCTAGCTATGCTTAGTTGTGAGACACAATGGCTGAGTTCAAATATAATTCAAATCTGCTCATTGTGCTCTAATCCTGATTAGATTATTAAATCACCTTAAGATTTCTTTACAGGACTTACTATCTAAATAACTTAATGTCTTTTATATGTTCACACAAAATCTAACTTCTCCATTGAACCATATGAATTTGGAGATCTAATTCTGATCAAACTGAACACAATGAGCTTATAAATTCAATAAAATACCTATAATATGTTCGTCATTATTAATATACTCTAAGAGTAGAAAACTGACTTCCTAAAGGGTCTAATACTATACACATGTATTTTGTTTGGCCTACCTAATGTTTACAAAAATTTTAATTTTGTTTCCAACATTTTAAAATCGGGACATTTAATATTAATATAAAATTCAGACTTTCAAGCTTTTCTGAGCCCAGATTCCTATGGGGTAGCCATGGATCAGCTGAAGATAAGAGGTCCTGCCTTCTTGGACTGTGGACTATTTTGCCATAGTCCTCATCCTTCCTGTTCCATTCGTTTGTGATACCTGCCTAATCCCTATAGGCATCTGAATTTGCAACCTCAGCTCCAGGCAGTGGAGTAAATAACATGTTGGCTGTTTCATGGAAATTTCTTCTATCCTTCCCTGAACTGTGATCTGAGTCCTCTCAGTGTCACACTCTCACATCTTAAGGAGCCCAAGCCCTCTCTCCTTTCTCTGCTATCAGAGAGAAAGAACTCTGATAAAAACTGGGGGTCCCACCAGGCTGCTCCACCGGGGTTGGCATTACTAGTGCGAGGAATGAAGGGCCAGTTGATCAAGCTGTGGGACTACTCCTGTGGATTTGTGTGCATCTGTCCTCTCTCAGCCTGAGAGGCTGGTCCAAGGCCAAGATGCCCAAGTCTGCCTGGGGAATAGAAGTTAAGAAACAGGCTGCTCAGCCTGTCTCGGGCCTAACCCCTGTGCTACACGGATAATGAGAGTCTTAGAGGCTCCACATGGTTCATTCCTGATCACCTGGGGGTTTGACATGGCCTGGCTGGTGTGAGGCAAAGAATGCCTGGGTGTCCTCCCTGTAAGTAGCTCAATCCCAGGAACACACCTTATGGGGCTTGGGGAACTCATCCCAAACACTGGCATCAGGTCCACAGAAAAGAATTTGGAGAGCAGGGAGGATTGTGACAATGGGGCACCCAACGAGGCATTAAATGCCTTTCTTTGCAAAACACGCTTCAGTGCAATAGTTGCTTCTATATAGGGCTCAGTGGGGACTATTCTGTGAGCATCCTCCTAGAACAGTTTCTTAAACTTTAGTGTGCACCCAGGGTAGAGTTGTCATATTTAGCAAATAAAAACACAGAATGTCCAATGAAATTTAAATTTCAAATAAAAAACTATTTTTTAGTACAAGTATATCCTAAATATTATCTGAAATATAAATTTGACCAGATATGCTGTATTTTATCTGGCAACCCTAGCCTGGGGGCATATAAGGTACAGATTTTTACATATTCTGATTTAGTAGGTGGTCGGGAAGATGACGAAGGGATGAAGGACAGTATTCTGTGCCCTTGAGCATCACAAGGTATTCTGATACAGGTTCGCTGTGGGTGACCCACTGACAGTCATAATATAGCAGAACCCCCTACAAAAGGGGAACTTAAAGACCCTATTCCTCCCTGGGTGTGTCACATGTTCTACAAGGAACACACACACATATACACACACAGCCAAGCAAAATCAATACATGAGAAAAATTGAAATAGCTTGTTTTAAAACCAATAATACTCAAGTCCCTGCTTCATGTGAGAGGAAGAAGCAATGCCCCATGTCCTGGAGGCCTCAGCCTTTGGAGAAGTGAGTCAGGGCTACAGTTCACCCTGAGGCTGGAACGTGACCAGGTCAGGAAAGCCAGCACATGCTGACATAATCACCCCGTGCTGTTTACTCAGCTTTAGCTTTAGCTTGTGTTCACCGTGGGCCCTAAAGGTTCTCTTACCCTGGGTATTTGTGAATAGATAGCCATTCCTTATTTTTCACTCAGGTTACAGAGTGTTTTCTTCCTTTGTGGACAAGTTGATCCATTCCCTCCTGCACTTCATTACTTTGGATTCTAAGCAATTCTCCAATTTCCTAAGACCACTTAAAATTCTAATCACATGTCTCACCTACCACATGATACTCAGCAAAAGTGATCTTTGGATATCATCGAATATTAAGTTGAATTACTATTCAAGATGCCAAAGAATCAGGGTCATCTCTAAGACTTCAACAATCTTCGGGTGGCCTAGTCTAGAACAGCAGTTGTCAGCCAGGAATAATTTTGTTCCCCAGCAAACAAGTGGAAATCTCTGGAGACTTTTGCAATTTCACAACTTAGAGGGTAGAGGATAGACCAGGGATGCTGCTATACAGAGGATAGCTCCCCACAAGGGATTACCTGACCCAAAATGTCAATACTTCTATGGTTGAAAAACCCTAGTCTACAGTCTACACTGGAGTCATGTATCATCAAAATAACCCATGCCCCTTTTTCAGTATCCCATCTCTAAATTTTGACAAAAGACCAACCTAAATATAAAAACATGTTTAATTACAATAAGAATGCTTTAATAGTCTTTATTAGCAGAACATTTACATCTTTTAAAACAATCAGATCTGGCATCAAGCATTCCCCAAGAGAACACTTATTTGCACTAAATCAGTTATCTCAATTCTTCCCTTGTGCTAGAAAACAGGGCATGCACTCATGATTCTCAGCTTCAGGAAGAATCACTATCCCTGAGTTGACAAATACAGGTGCCCAACATACCTCTTCAGCCCTCACAGATACACAGAGAAATATCATAGCTGTTGTTCTTGGTCATCACAACCAAAACCTTCCCCAGGGAAGTACATGTAAAGCTCCACTTTCCACAGGTGTGTCTCTCTGCACCTATGACCCACGGAAAAGGTCTCAGTTATGTAAGAACCGAGGGTCAGAGAAGGGGGCTTCTTAAACACAAACAAAGAGAAATGGGGATTAGAGGCTAAACATAATAATCTCCCTTGGACACACAACTCTATTTCGTTACCAATGCAATGCTATTTTCTTACCAAGACTTTACAAGGACGGAAAAGGTTCCAACATTTCCAAAATACATTCCAGAGGCTACATCCTTATTCATCAACTTTGCCAGCACAGGTGATCAGAAAGTACGTATTTTCAGTGAATAAATGGGTTTGTTGAATCATCTGCCCTACCGCCATTAGCATTTATGGATCATCCGGATGATCACACACAAACGCTTTCCTAATGCATTTATAGTTGGGCAGGAACGTGCAACTCCAGTCCTCTGTTAACCGATAAGGCTCACTTTTTTTTTTTTATGCAAGAAGCACTTAACAGTCAGATCACATTGCTTCCCAGCCTTTTTTCTCGATTCCAATTGGGTATGCTACAAATGATTCACGGGGAAAAACTACATATTTATGCAGGCAGCTGGCAGCTTGCGGGGAAGGGTTTAAGGCGAGCAGGGAATTTTGTGTGGAAATCAATTCTTTGCGGAAGTCAATGTATTATGGACATTGAAGCAAGAGAAATTCCAGAGAGAAATTAACTGCCCAAGTAAGCCAGCTCCTTGAGGTGTACATCTATAGTCACTAGAAAAAAAGTGAGTTAACCCTTCAGGCAGCTCTTAAATATGCATTACCTATTGAGTGGGAAGAGCTTGAGAACTGAGGTGGGGCCTTTAAACACAGAATTCCTTACAAAATTGATTCACAAACCAGAACAAATTCCCCTCAAATTAAATGCATGTCTCCAAAGGGCTCTTCTTCAGGGTTTTTCCACGGACCACCCTAAACGGGAGTCTGGTCATAGGAAATTCCCCACACCTACATAAACACAGGCTACTCTGAAGCTTTGAAAGTGAACAGCCCCTTGCTGTTGGAGAGCAGAGGGAACAGGGACAGGTCCGCATAGGCTATGCCTTCTGGAAGGATGGAGCCTCTGGACAGATAACAAGGAGCCCCTGTAAAAGGAGTCAGAGACTCCAATGCTGGAGTTGTTGAGGGAAGACAGCCTGGGCATGAAGTGCTCTAAGAAGCTCCAGGTGATGCATGGAAGAACCGCCACCAACCCGTTTTTGGAAAGCATGGCAAAGGCCTATCTGAGGAGCATACAAAGGAATTCCACGAGGCCCCCAGAGATCGAACAGGATACCACTCATGAGTCCTCACTGGCAAGAAACCACAAAGCTCAGGTTTTTCTTCTCAGAGAAACTGCCCTGGACTTAGTTCAGGTGCAGCCTAGGCAGGGAGACAAGCAGGCCACTCGTGGCTATAAACACTAAAGAGGAATATTGCACTTGAAATCCCTTTGTACCATGCTGGGCTGAAGTCAAGTGAACTGTAAAGGTGATTGACTGGAAACTTCTGTGAATTCCTTATGCTGTGGCTGAGAGTTTGGTCCTAAGCTCTGGCAATAATATAAAACTTTTAGGCTTTTCCACATATGCCCAGTTATCACCTATGTCTTTAGTAATGGAACGGTCCAGACAATAGAATACAAAAGAGACAGCATAAAAGAAAGCCAGTGGCACAGCTGAAAAACTGGACTAGACTTTGCAAGATTTAACACTGACATCATCCAATAGGGTCTCAATGCTACCACTGAACAACTTATTTGTCAGCCCTCAAAATGATTTTAGAACCTTGGAATTTATTCTTTACTTTCCTCTTTCTTCTCCCCATTCTTTGGTTACGGATTTATGCTTACGTATAAATCCGTATTATGTATTCATTCATTACAGTCAATAAATTTTTTATTGAGCAACTACTATGTTTTAGACACTATGCTAGGGTCTAAAAACTGAAAACTAACAAAAAGAGAACTACAGAATTTTAAGATATCAAAGATGAATATGCCAGGGATATACCTAATAACTCTGAATTACCAGTTTAACCTAAAACTTCATTCTCATAACACATGCATTGTATTCTTTTTCCAATTTTGTAAAGTGGACATAAGACGAAGAAAGTCAATGAAAGGGGGAAAAAGCACTCAATTTTTCTATTGCTGACTGGGTATTGTTCTGCCAGTCAGTCTGCAAAGGCTCAAGCAACCCAGCACCTTTTCAGATGGCCCTCTGGTTCTCTGCACCTACAGCCAGCTCAACCCTTCTTCCTGTTGTCCAGTGGCCAACACACCTGTCCAGGAGACCACATACCACTCAGTGACACAAAGACATTCCCGCCTCACACTGCAAGATGAGCAACGCTGAAAGTTTACTTTCCTCTAGGCATTTGGAGTAGTCAAGATTATGCTACCCCAGAAAGTACACAAAAACATGGTTCCTTAGGCCCTAAAGTTTGCTGACATAGCTGTGCAAAGGCCCTTTAGTGGCCAGTGAGTTAAAGGCAGCTCCAGCTGCCCCAGATCTGAAGTCTGGCTTCCTCCGATCCAAGCAGTTCTGCCTCTTTTCCTCACTGGCATATTAGCCATCCTCATTAGGCATCTAAAATGGTGTGTAAGTGCTGTGCTTGGAATAAACATAATTAAGAGTCTAAGGAGGGTTGAAGAGATAACCAGGACTTTCATTAGGGGTTATTCCGCTGAAGGGAATTAAAAACAGATGATTGGTGAGAAAGAAGTTCATCCTTTAGGTTCCTCAGAAACTTGGCGTAATTGTCATGGCACAGTAGATGCCCAGAGGTGCGTCCTGGAAGAGTGAGGCCCTTAATCCCTTCATAGATGACCCACGGGATAAAATAAATGGAAAAGGGGAAACGAAATGGCTTTCCACTACTCTGATGCAAGTCCTTACCGACAGATCTATGGTTAAACTGTACCCAGAAAAATTAAGTTCTTAAATGTTTAGACAGAAATTTACCAGGAGAAAATAATATTAAGTTATACTAAATAATGGAATAAAAAAAATCATGGTCATCAAAGTGTACTTCATCCTTCTGGAACCTAATGTGATCTCATACACCTCATGCTTCAGTTTGGAACACTCTTAGTGGGCAACAATATGGCCACATTAACACTGTAAGATAGTGAGAGTTGCATAAGTAATTGGTATTAGAATCCAGATAAACAAAAATCGGCACCCACTGTGGATAGTTCAGGAAGATATTTTAGTTTGCATTAATCTAAATGACCAGAAAATGATTAATATCTACTTTATTTTGCTCCATTAGCTATTGCTTCAAAACAGTTTTTTCAGGAATCCTGAAAGAAATGATTACATTTTCCTAAAAGCACTTGTTTAGTACAAAATCATAAATTACTTTCTTGATACTAACATGCACCAAGTAAATATTTCATGCCATACCACTGATGCTGCACTCCAACAAACTTTTGGAGTGAACTTCATGCCCTATTGGCTCTGATCTTCCTGGTGGAGCTGAAGATCTTACCTCTATGATATTGGTGGGATTGCGGATATAGATTCCAGATGGTGTCAACATTTCAGGATTGGAGAGTCCCTCAGCACCAGAAACACCAATGATCACATTGTTTCTTATTATATTTCCCTGTTCTGACCAGTCTAATTTACAAAAAGATAAATCAACCCATGGAATTAACAAACATAATTAAAATTCATATAACTCAATAAACTTGATTCTACTAATACACATTAGAGTTCACATAATGCATTTAATACATATATATAGATAGATAGATAGATTATACACACACCCACATTTACAAAATACTTAGTGTGCTCAATAAATTGAAAACACCTCACATTTTGCCATCAGGCCTATGTATAAAATATATGACAATTTTAAATAAATTGTAATAGATTTAAAATCAGTTTACATATTTACCATTTTTTCTTCCAGGAATAGCCTCCCAAGAGATATGTCTTATCTCCACGTATGTCCCTGAGAACAAAAGACCATGTTACTTCAGCATATTTTATGCCACCCGGGAAAACAAGGGACAGTGCAACAGTGTTTCCTCTTTGGATTTAGGTTGTTTTGATTTTTATCTATGAACCAACAAAAAGATACAGATTGTAAGGACTTTTTAGATCTAGAGTATCATTGATCAGAAGTTCATTTTACATAAAAAGAACAGAGAAATAGATCCTCTGTTTTACTTCTTAGGAGGAGTCCAAATACCTGTCTCCATAGTCCGATGCAGCACATCCTATGTCAGCTCCAGCCTCATTCCTAACTATTCAAATTGGCCACGAGCTCTCTGCATGTCCCTCTCTTCCCCTCAAAGATCAGAAATGTCCTGGAGGAACAGGCTGGGCAGTACCTGACCCTCACATCCAAACCACTAAGGTTGGAGTAGAAGAGAACAGAAGAGCAAGCATGGGCCATGCTACGTAAAGAGATCAGTTACCTAAGTGATATCAATAGGGAACAGCCCCACGGCCCCCTCATTACTAGATCTTTAGGGATCTCGGCTTCCTGTGTCATTTCATGTGTCTGGATTTGCAAACTTGTTATGTGTGAGATTGCATTAATAAACGAATATATTAATTCCCTTAACTTGTCATACAATAGATGCGAAGAGCCTATATATTAATAATTCACAGTATCCCAGCACTAAAGGCTAAATTCCTTCTACAGGCTTTCTTCCTTGTCTAGTCAATGTCTATTCCACATATAGTTGTCCCTCAGTATACACCGGAAATTGCTTCCAGGACCCCATGGATACCAAAATCCTGGCTTACTCAAGTCCTGCAGTGGGCCCTTCCGAACCCCCAGATAGGAAAAGTCAACCCTCTGGCATCCACAGGTTCCACATCCCGAGAATACTGTATTTTCAATCTGAGTTTGGTTGCAGATGTGGAACCCATGGCTACAGAGAACCAACTGTATTTATTTTTTAAAAATCCACATGTAAGTGGACCCACACAGTATAAAACTGTGTTGTTCAAGGGTCAACTGTAATTGTTTTCTGCTAAAACAATACTGTTAGGATATCTTCCCGAATTTCCACTCAAGGTTTCACTTTTTCCCTGGCACACACAAAAGTAGGAATAAACAAAGTCAGTCCTACATCTGTTAGTTGGACTTCCCTGTGGCTGTCCTTTTCTAATCAAAAGATTTTTCTGCACCTGACCACCTCAATTGTTCTCAGTTCTTTGCCTTTTAGAGCTGGAGTGTGTTTTAAAACAAGTTTATATAATTCATATTTCCCTCTCAGGATTACAATCTTTGTAGCTTTCATCCCAACAGATTGTTCTTAAATGAAACATACATTTTCCCACTGATGATATCACAGAATTAATTTAAATATAAAGCACTATTTAACAAATACAGTTATATTCCTACTTTCCATGAAAGCCTCTGATTTGCTTTTTTATCCAAGGTAACCACAGATCCTTTGTTCATGAATTCATTTCTTTCAACAAACAGGCCTAAAATGCACTCATTAATATGCTAAGTGAGGAGACAATGTCCTCATGAAATCTGGTAAAAAGACATTAATCAGATGATCAAAAATATGGCACATAATTTTAAATCAAGAAGTGCTGATAAGTGCTTAAAGAGTTTAAACATAAGTAAGTACGTGACTTAGGAAACTAGGGGAGAGGATCTTGCAGGTGGAGAATGAGTGGCATGAACAAATGCGAAAGAGCTTGTGCAAAGGCCCTGAGGCAAGAGAAAATGTGGTCCTTTAATTTTGAAAATTTAAAATAAAGTAAGTCAGTATCACTAGAGTACAGAGGAAGAGAAAAAGAGTAAGACAAGTTTATAGAGGCTAACAGAGACAAAATCACTGAAAAGGTCTTATTAAGCCTGGTTAAAAGTTTTGGGTTATATTCTAAGAGCAATAAGAAACTGATAAAGTATTAAATTAGAGAAGTGATATGATGCAATGTGAAATTTTGAAGGATAATTCTGGGTTTTGCAAGGGGAATGAATTTTAGGAAACTAAAGTGGATACAGGTGATCAGTTAGAAGATTCTGAAATGCAGACTTCTTTAGCAAGCCACAGGAGCAGTTCAGAACAGAATTCAAGATTTTTAAGTCCTTGGCCATCTAAGTTTGAGAATCTTTGAGATTGTACAAAAACATATTTATGTGAGTTAGAATTATTATGAAAATTACTGCCAGTAAATTTTAAAACTCTCATTATATACTTATTGGCCTGAACTGAACCTTTAAAAGATCAGTTTCCTATTGGTAAAGTTTAATAAGCCCATCAGTGATAGCTAAATTTAAATTCAGAATTTTTATCTATGGCCTATTTCTAATGATCAGAAGGCCAACATTTTTATAAATTGGAAATTCAAAATTTGGGGAGAATCCTTGTGAAAAACTATGAGTCCTACTTAAAAATACAGAAATTAAACAAGCTCATTGTACTTACCCACCAGCAGGGCATGGCCTAAAATATTGTAGAAAACATTACTGTCCACCTTCACGCCCACGGTCCTGCAAATGCTGAGGCCTCTACTGAAGGAGTTCCACACTGTGCAGCCCTGCACATAGGAATCTCAACAGGAAAGAGTAAGGTAAAAATTAGAAATGGACCTCAAAGGTGCTTCAGATTCTGTTGACCACATTCAAAGCAAGCTGGGCTATAGCTAAAAACATTCTCCCACGTAATAATGAAACTCAGGAGATAAGAAGTTGAAAGTAGCAATCAAGTCAAGAAAATGGTCAGCTCAAGCTAATGGGCCTCAAAGATCAACAGGGTGAAATCCAAGCATCAAGTGTTAAAAAAGAAAACAATCTGAGACAGAAGTATGTCCAAACCACAAGAGAACACAAGGCCATCAAGATTTCCAGCTGGCCATCATCTTTGGTATCAACTCTCATCACAATATAGCAGGTGAGAAGTTTAGGGCAACGTGAAGGTTCTGCTTATGAACCAACCCTGATCTTTGAAAACTGCATTTTGCATGAGGAAACATAGTCATGGTTTCTTAAGCTATAAATTAATCTTTATAAATTGCCAGGCAATAATATTCTTGGCCCAAAACAGCCAGAGATCCTTATTCCAATCAAAGATTGACCTGAGGATCATTTGAATGTAATAGGTTTATAAAACTGAAGGGGAAGAATCTCGTATCATATGCTAAAAGAAATTGACATTTAGGAAATCATTACAATGGCCCCACTGGCATCTTCTATGACCCCCAAATCCTGTTATGTGGCCTGAATCAGTCAATGAATAAATATTTATTGAGTATCAACTCTATGTTTTAGGAATTATATACTCTATCATGCTGGAGATAATAAAGATGAACAAAACTAAGTAAACTCTGTGCATCTTCAGTCTGATGGTGGAAACTGACATTAAAATAAAAATATATTATTTGAATGATTAAACTGTAAATCTTGAGAAAAGAGATTTGTATTATTACGTGGTAGTGAGAAAGATATTTATGAATGCCAAATGTTTGGGATATTGGAAGAATTGCTTTGGTTTATGGAATAATTTTACTTTTAAAAATGGGCTATCCTGAAAATTCGCAACTATAATGTCACCGTAGATCCTGGATCTCCACATTCCCGTCAATCTCAGCTCCCCTAGTCCAGGTGCCCTCACATCACTCATCAAGGATTCACCCCAACAAACTGACCCATCCGTATCTACTTCTGTAGTAAACACTGCCTGTGGTGGACAGATTCTCCACCATGATATCACCCAGCCAGAACATCCCTGCCCATCTGAACATCCAACAAGTACTAATGTGTTTACGTAGCTTGTGCAGACAGAGTTCAGGGATTGGTAAAGCTTTACAATGTACTGTGCAAAGATTCCAGCGCCTTCTAGCTCTAGTGGCTGGGGCAATTGGCCACGCAGGCCATGAGGACCTTCAGGGCCTGAAACAATAAAAGATCTTTTGGCAAGCATGCCATCCAGAAGTCTAACCTTTGGATTAACGTGTTACCCCATCCCAGGAAACATATTTGTATTTTAACAGGGATTTACAGGGGATAATATGTTAATGCAGTGGTTTTCAAATGTTTTTAAGCACTGAACGGTTTTTCAAATAAAGCCCAATATATAAAAATAGATAAAAGTGCAGCTACTCTGATTGAAACAATGGTAGGGGAGATAGGTAAAATTGGAGCAAAGGAAGGTTTTGATTATGTTCAATTGATAACTCATATGTGACTGCCACCCTCTGTTTTACTGGACTGGCCCCACATTAAATATTCTGCAGCATTATAAGCAACAGGAGACCAAAGAACCTGCGAGAAAGGCACAAAGATACAAACTGGCCCAATGTGCTAGGGAAGGGCCCATGTTAGGAACCATCCCCCTAAATGATGAAAGAAAGAAAGAGAGAGAGACAGAGAAAGAAAGAAAGAAAGAAAGAAAGAAAGAAAGAAAGAAAGAAAGAAAGAAAGAAAGAAAGAAAGAAAGAAAGAAAGAGAGAAATCTGGAAAATTAGGATAAATACACATCCTTGGCATGCAGATAATCCGAAATGAGGAATAACGTTGTAGTTGGCTAGCCAGGATCCTGCCTTCCATGACACAACAACCTGTCGTTACCTGTTGCAATCCTAGCATCTCTCAGGGCCCACTTGCACCACACAGTATGCCCTAATGTCCTTTGTCAGACATCTACCTCTGAAACCCCCAGAGCACCACCCCTTTAAACTAAGGCAAAGCTCGAACGTGTGGGTGCTGGACATGCTGAGGGATGGGGATTTCATTTCACTCAGGAACAAAGCTGCTGTCCTTATTACCTGGCATCTGCACCCCGATTCTGTGGCTCTACATACCAGCCTTTGGCATTGGATTTTTCCTATAACCAACTTCAGTTTCAGAACCTTTGTCCGTACATCTGGTCATATTCTTTTTTCCTGATTCCGATCTTGTTTTTCACCCAGTTTTTCTCACCTGGATTTGATGTTTCCTTGCCCCCTTCCTGTATCTTCAGCGCTGGCCAAGATCTGCACATCTGCCTGTTCCTTGTTCCCAGGAAAAGCACCCAGGTCCCAGCCCATTCTCCCCCATTTTCCCAGGCAGAAAATTCCTTGAGTTAGGACAACGTCACAAGAAGTCCTTTCTGCTGTGCCTGGACTCCCATAGCGCTGATGATTTACATCATTCAATGTCAGTTTTCCTAGAGTTACAAAGCTAGTAAATGGTGGAGGCAGAATTTAAAACTAGAGATTGTGTGGTTCATGCCCATGTGCTTTACTTTTAGTGATATTTCTCAAACTATGCTCCTTGGACGACTTGTTCTAGAATCATAAGATTTGCACATTTAAAGTTAAGATCCCTAGGCCCACCTTAGACCAGAATTTGTTGAGATAAGGTCTATAATTCTGAATTTTAATAAGCTCTACTATCAATTTTTTTAGGCATACTAACGTTTGAGAACCACTGATTTAGAATATAAACAAATATCCATCTCTGAATCCCTCAGATCCCACATACCACTTATCATGATCCTCTGCATGTAGTATCTTACACACAGGAGAATACAGAAAAATGAGAAGGTCGTAGGTCTGGACCCCCTTACCTCTCATAGCTCCCACCAGAGTGAGTGAGCTCAGATGCTTGTGGAAGGCTTGTCCCAAGTCTCGGAACTGCACTCCCTCCAACTGGACCTGGCTGGGCTCCTCTGGGAAGGACTGAATGATGACTCTGGCCCCCAGATCCCTAGATCCCAGGATCTTCTCGCTCGTGGAGTACAAACAGTGCTGCAGATTACCTGAAACACGAAATAAAGTCCAGAGGACCCAAAGCATGTAGCACATGCTTCTACGCAAATCTCCCAGTTTGAAAGGCACCGTCAGCACAAAGGACAAGCCATTACTGTTCATTCTGTTTAATAATCTTACTTCCTTTTTTCTTTGATTCTCCTCTGTAGATTATTAATTAAAAGATCTGATAACTAGGACCATGATGTTGCCTTCACTCTATTATTTCCAGAAACTCCCAAATCAATCACCTTAATTACTGTCACAAAGAGGCAGACTATAACCCACAAACCCAACCTAAATAGATGCTTATTTCAATCCAAAAGATCCCCTGGAGGGAATATGCAATAAAATGACCTTCTTGTGGTTGATAATTGTAGGGAAGAGACGTGAGCCCTGAATATAATCACAGCACATTTTAGTATTAAGCGAGCTGTCCAATGGGGTTTCCCCTTTACTGTGCTATTTTATAGTTTGGGGACTTAGCAATAATGCCACTATTGAAATGGCAAAGGGCTCCAGAGAAGTAACTGAGCAGCCCCTGCACCAACACCTCCTTCCCCAGCTGAGTTGCTAGTGAGGACAGCAAACTCCCTGAACCTAACACACACACACATAACTACTATTGCTACCAAACGTTGCAACCTCAGGATCCGGGACATTTTCTGTTAACACATGGCATTTGGTCAGAATGCCAAATCTGACTAATCTCAGAATGGAAAAGAAATCGTCTCCTGAATCGATTTTTTGTTATTCATGTTAATGAACCAAACAAACATCAGTGGTAAAAAAAAAAAAAAAAACACTGTATCATTCCACAGTAAATTTGAGTCCAGTCATCTGCTAACACCCAGAGAATGAATGCATAAGAAGTGAATGAAGAGATATTTTATATTTGTATGCTTTATCACAATTTTGATTATCTGTGCCAATGATCCATAACATTTTTAAATGGCCAGGCCTTTTGTTATTGGATTTAGCGACCTTATTCCCACACTTCAGCCCCATATAAAGAAGGGGTAAGTGACTTATTTTGAGGATGTTTTCTATTAGGAGCTTACAGATTCACAAGGCCTAAACCTAGAAGCATGGTCTCACTGGCAGCATGGACGAAAGCAATGTTTTTCAAAGTATGATCTCAGATTACCTGTATGAGAATTGCCAAGAGAATCTGAATAGAATGCAGGTCTCAATTCACAGAACTGTTAAAGTTGGCAGTCATTGGATTCTAATCCATTGTTATCCAAACTTATTTTCAGAATGACACATTTGTGAGTAGGTGACTTAGGTGAGGGGGTGAGGTCAAGATCCCTCTCCACTAGTAACACCTCCCCACACCCAACCACATGGCAGCATTATACCCACATGCACCAATAGGTAGACATGACATAAATACTCAACTTCCACCCTGACATTTCTTCCACGCTCCACACATCACCAGACATCTCTACTCAGCTGCTGTCCTAGCATCTCAGTCTCGACAGGTACAAATTTAAACTCATGATCACCACCCTCCCACCCCAAAACCTGCTCCTCTTCCCATCCCAGCAAATAGCCTCATCATCCATCCAGAGCTCATGCCTGGAAGTCATCCTCGACACCTACACCATCCTGGACCAAAGTTGACAAATGATGTCTTCACAACATATGAAAGCCTCATAATCTACAGCCTGGGAAACCAAAACATAACCTACTAAACTAACCATCCCTGAAATAGATGTTTAATAGGTACATCAGTGTGATTCAGTGCCTGCTATTCTACTAGAAGATAAATTGACTTTTCCACCACTTACCTGAATATGTGGTAGTTCGCTCAGAAAACAAACCCCAAAAGGGGAGGGTGGCGGGGGAGCCCTACAAATCTAATCAATGAGAACGTGCTGCCTGCAACTCTGGCATTACAGTTTTCCTAAGAATCTTAGAAGGGGCCTAGAATCAGGTTAAGACCTCATTACAACACCAAACTCAGAAATGTAATTCCACTCTCCAGATTTAATTCTTTAACAGAAATACGTTCCCCAGAGAAATAATTAATTTATCATGTCTTTTGTCTTTTGTCTGTCTTTTCCACAAGGTTGTTGGGCAGCAGTGGGGGCAGGAGTGGGAGGATGACATGACAATTCACCAAGAACATTCTGAAAATTACAGAATATTGTGGACTTTCAAAGATTAAGGGCTTATTCTATTTTGAAAGAGGCCAACCATAGCCGTGCCACACAGCATTTGACAGTGAGAACATTCTTTTTCACTCATTGGACTTTCCAACAAAATGCTTTTCTACCTTGCGAAGCATCGGCTTCCTGGCATGAAGCAAGGAGCTCCATCCTCTCACTGGTGAGATTTCCTTGTATGGTAATACTCCTGGTCAGAAGAGCCACTGTGACTTTTAAAATATGGTGCTCTCCAGCCACCGAACTCTCCGTAAAGTTGTGAGAATATCTGAAAAAAAGAGGAAGCTGCATCTGAAAACATCACTCCAAATCTTATTAGGAATAGTAAGCCACTAGGTAAGCTTAATTCTTTTTTGGGGTCTGTTTCTTTAGCAACTCAAATACAGAATAGTAACCTGCAGGCACAAGCATGTGAAAATTAGGAACTGTGCTGATTATTACACTGACCACTTGCTAGAAGGCAGAAGTTCTAGAGTCTTACAAGAGAAAGTTATTTAAGTCTAAATCGTCAAAACATTTCATGCTTTATAATTTTCTTGTCAAAATGTTAGCATCATTTAATGTAAAAATGCATCACTGAAAGACAAACGAATGTCCAGACCCCAACACAATCAAGACCTCATCTTCTTTCATGTACCGTTAGCCAAGCTCACACTCAGTACCTCAAGGGTGACCTAAGATAGAGGTCTGCCTTGTGCACAGTTTCCACAGTGACAATCTCTTCCATCGGTTTGGCACCTTCGACATCCTTTCCACTGATGATGACAACTTCATCCCCAGGCTGCCAGTCCACAGCGTCTTCCAGAGCCAACACTGTGTCTCGGGCATGGGCAGCTGTTCGAAGATGGGTGACAATTACTTCTGGTAGTGAACCTAAAGCAGCCCAAGGAAAACGTGTTTAGATATTTTAATAGTTAATAAGAATGTGATGTTATTCAGTCAAAGAATTCTGTGCAAGAAGAACCTGGGAAAGCAAGCTTCAGCATAGATAAGCACCAAATTTCGGATATTCATTTTGTTTTGTTTGATATTAGTTTTCTCATCTATAACAAATGTCAATAAAAAGTAATCCAGGGAGTATTGAGGTGTGAAAAGCACGGAACTTGTAGTCAGATTCAACTTATATTTGAATCACAGCCTTGCCGCATTCTAATCATGTTCCTGGGAGTAATACACTCACCGGTGGGCTTCAGTTTCCTCAGTTAGAAACAGAAGTAGCAAGGTCGTCCATCATAGGATTTTAGGAGGATTAAATGAGATAATATCTATGAAACATCTAGTTTGGATATTGCCACATAATAGGCCTTCAATGTAAGTTAGTCTTTTCTCTTCCTTCTCTGCATCACACTGTGTTTTGAGGATTAAATTTTACCACCTCTTTTTTATTCCAAATAAAAACAAATGGTTTTTAGACTCTGTAAGGTAGAGGTTCCGTAACTAATTTCCAGTACGAAGACTTTGACTCACTCCACAAATAATGTAAGTAGAGTGGAAAATCGAAATTACCTTATGATGGGTTGTACTAAGTCTTTGTATATTAATTGATCCCTTCAAACTCTAAACCTAGGTCTGTCTAGGGTAGGACGGCTAAGCAAAGTTGAAAAAGGAGGAACTTATGACTCTAGATATCTTAGTTTGTATTACACTTTGGTGTATCCATGTGGCCATCCCCACACCAGACACTAGTCCTTCATTATCAAAGATTCAAGAATGTCATCTGTCCCACAGTTTACTCTGGCCTTTTTCAGCAATTGCCAAAGCAAAGATTTTTTTCAAGGCATTAAACAATACTTCAGAAAAAAATGGCTTATGCCCAACTCCTTCCTCTTTCCTTAGTATATTTCCTTCCTCCTTTGCAATAGATCATAATTTACCTTTAGCCCACAGCAAGTTACTGTCCTCCCTTGTTGCACTGAAGTAAAGTAATAATACTTGAATCTCTAGCTACAGAGGTGGCCGACAATAAATCATTTTCAAATTATTTTAAACTTTCCTCTTTACTTATTTGTCTCTGTGTGTGGAGGCACTTGTACCAATAATGTTGTTTTAGGCTTAGAAAGGTCTCCGGGTTAATGATGTAATTTCTGAAGTTTACTTGGGCAATAATTTTATCTTAAAAAAAATTTACAGAGTTCAAAATTTCTAATTATGGGGCAGGTGAAAATTAAGACATAAATCATCCCAACAGAAAATAATTTTAATTTTATTCCTTGTTTGTATATCTTAACCTTTGGGAACAATAAAATGAAATAAAGTTTATTTAAATGTATATGCATATATATGTGAATTTTTATGACCCATCCTTGAATGTCTACATAGAAAAATCTCTACCAAGCATAGAAAAATGTTTATCAAAGACAAAATGCTATCAACCTTTGTGATTAATTGTTTATAATACTCCAGTCAGTGTGCAACAAACACCTGCTACATACCTGCCAATATGCAAGCTACACGGGGCAGAACCAAGAGTAGAGATAACAAAAATATTTCTCAACTAATTATTACTATAAATAATGGTAAAGTCCAAAAGAATGAAAAAAATCACAATCTTTGAAGTGCATTTTTAACTATTAAAATAAACTTACATCCTTTGAAGTGTACAGAGCCTTTAGAAAGCAGTAAAATTATTTCATAACTTATCCACTCTCATTACAAAAATAACATCTCTATCTGTCTCACTAAAACATCAAGCCCGGGTGTTTCACGAGTACTGTCCTCATATTTCTAGCTACATGGAAGACATCAACATTTGGATGACCTAACATCATCTCAAACTCAGGGTGTCATAACTATTGTAATAATAACCTGAGCTAGACCTTTTACAAATAGCCTTTGTTCTTTTAACCATTCCTCATTATGTTCTTTAAAAAAAAAAAAAAAAAATCTGCTCAGTTACTTTCATTACATCCCTTCTTTGTCCACTAACCTGCAGTATTTCCCTACAGTACTCAGGAACAAAGCCCCGAATTCCCTTCCAGACTCTGTAATGTGATCCTAATTTATGGTCTCTGATTTCTTAATAAACTCTGTTCCAGGAAGCCCAGTCTCTTTACACCTGTTCTCATTTAACAGGATCATTCCTACCTCTACTCCTTTGCCAATTTTGTTTCTCCCACCTTTGTGCCCTGTCTGCTTCCTCTCTCCTACCCTTCCAAAGCACAGCTCAAGCCCCACTTCTTCCACTGAATTTCAGGGACCATTTCAGCCTCCTCCTGAAGGCGCTGATCTTCACTGCCTCCTACAGACCTTACAGTGATGTGAGATCCTTACCTGAGCAAAATCTGCACCTACATCTGGTATTCGGGCATACCCAAGCATGTCTGGGTGGTCTGTGGGCTATTTATTTGTGTTGCTTTGCATGAGGGAAGCAGCATGAGCAAAGAAGCAGACGAAGGAAGACAGGGTGACAGGGAGACATGGAATCTGCCTCAGATAGAAGCTCTCTCTCTTGACCACATGGCCCCATGACTGAACCTGAGGGAAGAACCTGAAAGAACCTTCCAGAAGGCTTTTGCACCTGATGCTCCCCTGCCTGGGATTCTTTTGCCAACTCATTCTGCTGCATCATCAGAACATAGTTCTGAGAAAAGCCTCCAACACTTCCTGACTAGTCAAATCCTGTGTTGTAATTTGTCATATCACCATATCTCTCTCCTTTCTAGCACTTAACACAACTGCAATTTGACCTCTATGACAGTAATTATCTGTTTGTCTCCCCCTCTAAATACAACAGCAAAAACCAAAGCCATGTTCGCTCACCATCGTAGCACCAATGCCTTTCACAGTGTCTAGACTGTGACAGGTGCTCCATAAATATGCCCCGAATGAGGAAAATCATGAGCGAGACATGGAGAAGCAAGCACCCCAAAGTTTTGGTATCTAAGTGATCAGGTGGGACCTTGAGTGGCACAGAGAGGCAGTCACCATATTTCATTATGGGACATAGCGCACTCCCACACTTTGGGGTTCCATCACCTGGGGACAATGTAGGCCTGCACCCTTGGACTCATGTGTTCACTATCCCCATGGCAGTTCCAGCAGTGGAGATAGGGATGAGGCGGCCCCCACCACCTTCCTGAATAGATAACAGTGACCAAGGAAGCCAAAGTAGGAGGGAAAAAGCATGAAAGATACCTTGTGGTGATCATGGCAGACAGACTGGTTGATGAACTTGCATGAAATACATTGTGAGAAAACCTATAACAAGCAGAAAGGAATGTCGAAAAGGAATGGAAGTTCTGGGAGAGGTGGTAAAAATTTTTATCACTATTGAAATAGCCACAGGCTGAGCAGGTACAGGAAGGCCTGGGTAGACCTCAGTTCTATGACCGTCTATTTTGGTGCTAAGTTGTTCTGCAGTTATTACAGTGCGTGTCTCATCTCCCCATATGAACAGCACCATGAATGCAGGGCACTGCCTTCTGTTTCCTTTGTATATGTCACAATTCCTAACATAGTCCTGGACTCATGATTAGCAGTCAACTCATAGTGGTTTAAAGTAATTATTTTAACTGTTTTCTTCTGGATGATCACTTGTAAACCCCCATCAGATACACACCCAAGTGAGTATATAATATTCAATATGTAAAAGACAGGAAAAAACAATACAAACATTTGTTGAGAACTTAGAATAAACCCAACCTATCCTAAGTAGTTCTATTCTGAAACAAGAACTGTTTGGTTTGGGGGTTTTGTTATTTATTTTTACGGATTATTCAGATAGGAAACTAAGATTTTTCAAAAACAAAATTACATAGTAATAAATACTAGCACCAAGTTCTGAAATTGGGTCTTCTGAATCCAGGACCAGAGAATTAGATGAGTAATGGAATGAAATTCCTAGCCTCTGGAAATAACTATAAATTAACTGTACCCAATTAGCTTTGATACTCAAAAAATCATATTCATTACTTCACAAATGTTATTTAAATGTCACAGAAGGTGGAGTGACTGATTTCTCTGATGAAGAAAGTATTATGCACATTTCAAATGTGAGTCATTTCTATTCATAGAACTCTTAAAACCCAGGTTGCGCAGCTCTCTTCCTTTCTGTACCACAAATCAAAAAACATTACAAAAATACAGTTTAAAAAGCTCAATAATTTATGAATATCCTTAAATGAAAAAGGACTGTGCTTTTAACTTGTAATTTAATACAATGTTTAACCACTTTGGGCTTTCAACATTGACCTGTTAACCAACCAACTATTCATTTACTCCCACTAATGACTTCTACTCATAATTGTATTTCCTACAAATTATTGTTCAAGCATTTCAATGTCATTCATCCATAATTATACAGTCCCAGAAACAATTCTTACCAAATGGGCACGGAGAGAAAGAAAATAATTTTTGTGGGTTAACACACTTTAAAATCACTAATCGTCCTCTGTTTGCTTATTTTGTAGGACTTAAATCTTTATTCCAAGTGAATAACTACTGAGACCTTTCCAAATCATTTAGAAGGCAGCAGGCAGGGGGAGAGAATGAGAGAGAGAAAGAAGAAAGAGAAAGAAAGAATTATTTTATTAAAATAATGTTCATATCTGAATATAAGTACAAAGGGACTCACCAAAGAACTAGAAATATCATCCTCAAATATACACAAATTATTTCCACCTTAATCTAGATACAGCTTGACCATTATCCACAGCAAAACAGTGAGTGCCATCTATGTGTAGATGAACATTTGTCAAGCACTAGGAAGACAAACATAAAAAGAACAGAGTCCCTTTCCTCCAAGGTGCATCATCAGGATAAGAACCACATAGACAAAAATCAGAAATGCATCATGCTAAGAGTCAAGACAGAGGAACATCCAGAATCTCTGGGTACACAGACATGAAGTAACTCACTCACACCAAGGAAGTGGT